TTTCTCTTGTAATACCGAGCAAGGCGATGAATGCGGCTTTCCACAAGAATTAGCCTAAATTTGCTGTCCTTGTCCTTTCGGTTGCGTTCCAAGTGCTTACGCATGGCGACGGCTTTCTTGACAAGTTGATAAAGGTCATCAGGGATTACAGGAGCGAGACCCTTTGACTTTAAAATGCGAAGAATCTTGTTTCCAGTTACCCAACGCACCTGTGGTATACTATGGCTATCACGAAGAATAACACCTATACACCCAAAATTTAGATATAATCATGTATACCGATTTGTGAAGGTGTTAGTCCTTTGCGTGCAAGCTTGTATATTTGATTTTTGAGATCTTCAGCTGTCATTTTTTGCCATGATGGGACAGAACGACGGTAAGGCAGGGCACTACCCGACATACCCTTGCCAGGGTTGTGCATTCGACCCATTTTTAGAGATAATCCCGGTGAGGAGAAAAGAAGGGACGAGGCGAGGAGGCAGGAGAGGCGCGGGAGGGAGAAAAACGCACGTATAACAAATAAAAAATAACAACAGAGAAACAACAATATTTATTTTTTTTATGGTCAAAATTAACTTGGAAAGGCCAAAAAACTGTTTATCAATAGAATATTCATTTTGTAAAAATGTAACAACATACTCTAAACGTATATATAGAATAAGTCACAAACTTTATAAGTCTACGTAAATAAGTGTCTATATTTAAAAATGGCTTGCAGCTTGACATATTAGTTTGGTGGAGTCGGTGCATCAGCGGGAGCGATGAATAATCTGGTCAGCCTTTATTTAGGCAATACTTATCCTTCTTCCTTAAATATGTTGAAGTTAAATTTCATCTTGTCTTTATCTTTATTTTTATTTTCTAGAACTTTCATACATTGATGGAATCTTTGAAAGATGTAATTCATATTGCCTTAACTATATGATTGAATTTATTTGTCCTATTTGTTATGTGAGTGGAGTACATTTTTTGCCTCTATATACATTTTTATTGCGGTGGGAAATATTTCCTTAATATATTTTATCCTTTTTTATTTTTTAGTTATCATGAACCAAATATCCAGCGAATACTCTATTAATCCTCTTGGTGAAATAAACGCGGACTCGTTAAATTCTACTTT